ATCCTCTACAGATTTAAACGTGAATTTCCAGTGAATTGTTTAATGCTTAATATAGAGAATCCTGCAAATAATACTAACAATAATTTCAACTACCTAGAATACTAGAAGCGAATTTAATTCTATACTTAATCATCTTATAGTTATGGTAAACAATGCAAATATACGCATACCGGATCCCGATAGATAGTTAGACCGCAAATTGCACGCCTCCCACACGCCTCCCCGCATTCCAGCCTATAGTTAGGAATCACCCTTCCCCCTACAACAGCATTGTTTCAAGAACAATAGTATTGTATGTTCTTTTACCAAGAATCGAAAATACACGCTTTATACAACATACTCACAAACAGAATTCTTTTATGAATTACGTTTAAATAATAAGACTTCAATTCCTTTTTAATATGTCGGTTAATTAACTCGTCGAGTACCGTCATTATAGATACAATTATAGAACAATAAGTTGCGGTTACCGGTGACCGCTGGTGTGTGACAGTTTAATACACTTATGTGTTTTCCTAAGTGTAATAAATGCTTTTATGAAAACCGCAGTATAATCGGTTAAGCCGATCGCGAGATAATGGCACACAAACATACATACAAACACGCATTTTTTTTAAGGGGGGAAAATCATCGAATGACTACTCCCGCCTGGGCGAGGCGGGAGGGAGTGTCAGACTCTTACTGACTAAAACCCCGTTCGACGTGCAGGAGAAGTTCGACGTGCAGGAGTCCTGCACGTCGAGCTGGAGCCCCGGTTACCCGTTAAGTTCTCCACGACTCCGAATCGGCATCAGCCCTGTTGGGCCCCATCTGTGGTGGTCTGATGGCTGTTTGAAGCGCCCGCGGAACGCGACGCGCCGTACGCTCGGGTCTGTTTCTGGTCGGACGGGGAGCCACCCATGCTCGCCGTCCACAGGCCCGCCCTTAAGGTTGCCGGAGATCGACATACATACAGGTTAAACTGAGACCCTTACTTTTGGAAATCGATTAAAAACAGAAATAATTTTCGCACTCCACATTAACGTGAAGCCATTGAAAATAATAAATTAATAATTCAACGATGAAATATCGACGAGAAAATGAGAAATGTGAATTAATTTAATGAAATGAGAGCACGTTTATTACGAAAACATTGCGCTGTGAAATTGCACGATCAAAGACCTAGATTATTATCGGATCGACGAAAATACGAGATGGAATTTTATTTATGTTTTTAAGAAGCGGTCAGTCACTGCTTCACTGGTCAGTCGTTATATTTTACAGTTGCCTTTAAAATATCTGGTATAGAATAACTCAGAGAACAATATATTTGAAATATATTATGTAAGTATTGATGGAGATGAGACCAAAAGCTGGATAGATAACACCTTAAGACTAATTCACAGTTTTTATAAACCTACTAGCTTTTGAATGCGGCTACGCCCGCTTCCCTATGGGATAAATAATAGCCTATATGTTATTCCAGCCCATAATCTACCCCTGTTTCAAATTTCATCTCGATCCCTGCAGCCGTTTTGACGTGAAACAGTAACAAACACACATACATACATCCTCACAAACTTTCGCATTTCTAATATTTGTAAGAGTAGGATTCAATTAAGAAAACCTTACCTATTCATAATTTTAAGCATCATGGCTCCCAAAAACCAAATACATAAATATACTACCTGCCTAACATCACCTTTACGATCTAAATCCCCTTGTATACATACTACTATCTATGTATGGCCGAGGTTAGGCGTCCCCCTAAGTTCAGACATCTTGTCAATGGCTTGTAAATGCTAAACAGAGGGCGGACATGCCACGACGCGATCGTTTTGATTAGTTCACCCTGTATAGTCTGAATACGCATTACGGGTTACGAAATTGGATGTCGCTTCCTGAACATACTGTATATCGTATTGGTAGGCAGAATATTTAAATTAAATTTTGTATTTAATGGTTTTGAAAAATTTGATGAAGATTTAGGTCTTTGACCTTATTACTGCAAGATTAAATTACTTAAAAAAGGAGTCCTCAAATGAATCTTTAGGTTAAGAGAATACATTTTGGAGGAGTTTTGAATCACTCACTATCCTGGAGAAGAGAAGACTTCGATAATCGTTATTCCGAAAAGCAAATAAGTACTCAAACCTGGCCGTCTTAATTTGTTCTTATTTGAAATGGATACATTTTAATGTAAATTGGATTAATACGTAATAACACTGTCATTGCTTTTGAAACAAAAATTCATACATAAACTGGACGAACGAGATGTTCATAATAACAAGTCTAATATCCAATACTAAGCTATGTCACGTTGGGGTCACCACTTTAAATACTAAAGAAAAGAGGTAAGCTAACTAATAGTAAAAAGTATGAATGAGGAAGATACAGAATAATAAAATGATAAATAATGAAACGCTACACCCAAAACTATGCCCAATCATCCACTTGAGACAACGTCCCGTCAGTCAGCCCTTGAGCAGACAATAATAGCCTCATAGTCCACACCCTGACGATTTGTCGGCTATCAAAAACATCGAATGTTATAGCTTTATTTAGTTACAGTTTCCTTATAGTTATTTCAGGTTTTTGTCACAAGAATCCATTATTTAGATAGCTCTCATCATTATTTGGGGGAATCTGCCACGATTTTTGGACTTATAGTGTCTGGGCTGGTATGCTGGTATGCTGGTATGTCTGGTATATGGAGAGAATATATTAGAGAATAAATCTGATGTTAATTTATAGTATCTTTGTACTTAATATCATCATATGCTATGCAATTTAACAATATTGCTCATTATGTGGAAGTTTACAAATTTTCATACGTCTGCATCGGTTGAAGTTATGATTACTAAAATGTTCTATGACCTTTTGTAACCTGATTATGTATAACCACAATACCAACTACAGTCAAACCCGTGCCTCACAGTCAAATACTTTATAACCGCTCTGACGACCATGGATAGTATCCAAACAAGAAAGTAGCGTCATACGCTCACGGATACTGTAGTATACAATGCGACGAGTTGTGTTTTTACGTCTATCTAGTTCAAAATACGGTATTCTTTGGTGAATTTTGACAGATTATCTATACAGCTGATGAAATAGTTCGTTCATAGATCTTTTTTTGTGTTGTTTTCTTTATTCTAGCCATTACGGTCCTACGCCGAAGTTGCGAAGTCGCGCGGTTCAGGTGCCCCGTCCGGCTGGACGTTAGAGAGACAAACGGTCACGCGGGCCGGCCATTATAGACTATAAGATTTCAGAATAAACGCATGTTTAAGGGTGCATCTACGTTTGGCGAATGTGCAGCTCGCGAGCCACCCACGAGCTGCGCGCTTGCATTTAAAATTATTATTTATCCGAAACTTGCATGAGTTGAGTACCAAGCAGTACCAAGCCGTTGCCGTGAAAGCACGCACGCAAGTCGAAGGTATCCCGCAAAAGGCTTGCTAGCGGACCATTTGCGGCTCATTCGCCAGATATGAACACACCCTTATATGCATTTTTATCCAGCTTGTCGTCAAAATCAGACGCTAAACTATATTATAGAAACCTTATTCCAACCAGTTATGTCAGGAAAGTTATTTTATCTGTCACAAGTCACAACAACACCAAGGTGGGGCAAACGTGCACAGAATACGGACGTGACTCGGAATACTCCTATAATGTCACCCGCTACTAATTTTATACAACGTTACAAATTATACTTTAAAATTGAGTTTATTTGGTTTGTTTTTCATTGAAGTACTGGGGGAAAATTGTGGTGTTTTGTTATGAAATTCATAACATAAAGTTACGGCTGTTTATGCCTACCGTGAGTAGGTAGACTTTTTATCAATTATATTATGAGTCCCATTAAATAGGAAGTGAGTTTACTGACATTTATTAGTCACAATTTCCTATTATTTTGATATTACTGAAAAAAATTCAAAACCCTGAAATGTCCTAAACACTTCGCTTGATCTGGAACTCGCATCCGAGACCAGTGACTCAGCAGTCACACTAATAATAAAATTAATACAGATTTTAGTCATCACGCTATTTGTCCAAAGTGTCAAGAAATTACCGCAAAAAAATAACGTAGGCGAATGGGCTTATTCCCACAGGAATAATGATAGCCATTTTAGCGGCAACCCTTGTTTTATTTATTGATGTCAGTGAACTTTGATATACATACATATTTTTAAAAGCCTTATAATAACGTCAACATCTAACTATCATAAAACATGTTTTGTATCAAAATACACAATATAACATTACATCTATCAATCACACATACACATCAATAGCCTATAAATGCCCACTGCTGAGCAAAGCCTTTTCTCACACGAGAATGTTTAAGCTTTCATCACCACGCTTGCTCAATGCGGATTGGCGATTTCAAACTACATAATATGAAATTATAAGCCCAGGTTTCCTCACGATGTTTTCCTTTACCGTTTGTCAGTAGTGTCTGAATAATCTTAGAAAGTACATATAACTCGGAAAAAGTCACATTGGTACCTGCCGTTGGTAAGTTTCGAACCTTATGCATAGGAAGTGGGCGTCTTAAACCTCCTGGCCACCACGAGACGATTTATCAATCATTGAAGAGGAAATACATGGTTTTCTCACTGCAAACAAATTCCTTTTTGCAAATTGTGCAACTCAAAAACCGAAAAAAAAACTTCACCCTAATGAAGATACCAAACTAGGACTCGGCATTTTATAATAATTTCCATTTTAATTAAAAATTTATTCGAAAGGTGATCCAATACAAAAGCTTGGTCATTTTGCTGAAATAATTGAATCGTTCAACGTTCCTACCGATAATTAAATTTAGCGGTCGCATACTACCGGTCAGAGGTGAAACAACAATAACAAAATATTAAAATTTATTGAAAACAAATATTTACAGTAAATAAGGATAGTTATAAATGTGTGGTTTATTCAACCATAAATAGTTTTTAACGATTACTAACTTTAAAAAAGAGGAAAAAGTAAATTTTTTTCGTATTTTTTTTACATACCCGTTGCTTAGACGTCGGAGATGATGCTCATCTGAAACAAACAATAAAAAATCATTTAGATACAAATTTCTTTTAAAAATAGGCTTACTCTAACTAAATATTTCTAGCAGTACAGAAATCGAAAAGACGGTGATACTAAGATTCATAACAAAACGAAAATTCTGTCGATTATATTCAAATGTAAAAATATTTCTTGAGCCTTCCTATCAAAGTAATACTCGTCAAACCCTGGCGACTTCAAAGACAAGTCTACTCAACTTTCACCATTGCAAGCAACCGAAAATTCACTCTACTCATAGATAGGGTGTTTCATTTTTCAAAGCTTGTCAAGAGCTAATTGTGAAGTTCGTTCCGTACGGTTGGAAAACAAAAGAACGATTACAGATACAAAGCAACGGATAGTACGCCCCGTCATCGTCCCCTCGCGTCGAAAAACAACCTGTTTTTAACAACTTACTTAATTACTTGAATTTTAATCAACTCTGCGGCTCCATAAAAATTGGGGGAACGGTTCCAATGTAAAAATAAGACTAGCAATTTTGAGATTTTGGAGTCCAGAGCTAATTTCTTAGTCGGGTTGTTAATTTAAGCCGGGGTTCTTGACTAAAAATAGAATGTGCCGTTTCTGAATGCTAGTGGCGAACTCGGATCACTGGGTTTGAATTTTAAAAGGTATTTTGACAATGTCATGACCCTTTATGTCACATACTAATGGGTTTATTTTTCATTCTATCATCCCAAAAAGAGATCAAGTGATGAAGACATATACAGTACTATCCTCACTTTTGAGCCCTCCAGTTCCATAGCCATATTCGTGGCCATAAAACGAAGAGAGCAGTCCAAAGGCACCTCTCCTATTGGCATATTCCAAAAGATCATTAACTGGGTATACCTACAGAGATCTTTCTTGACTGGATGTCAGTCTATATCTAACTCTATTCAGACGGAGACAATAGAAATGGGTCGTAGTTGATCGTTGCGAGCTACTATCTAATGTCGAATCACTATTATGCCGGATCAAAGGGTGCTACCTAATTGAACACGACACCCAACGTCTTTGGGACAACTGTACTATTGTCACCAACTATTTCGAGCCTCCATATAGATAGTTAATTTAAAGACGATTTGGAAACTCAATTATCTATACTTACTTAGATATAATTTTGAAGTGACTATGGGACTATGGTATGATAATTATCTAGTCAAGTGGGTTGAATTTGTGTGACTGAAGTTTAGTAAGTATCTCGCATCAAGCTCGTTGTGGTTCGTGGTTGCGTTTCAAGTGTGGAAGAGCCATGTTTCGGCACGAATGGGCCGGCTTGACCGGAGTGATACCACGGCCTCACAGAAAACCGACGTGAAGCAACGTTGCGTTGTGTTTCGTAGTATGAGTGATGTTATAGATTATATCAAAATAATAGTTTACTAATTTATGCATCACTGCATGTATCTCTATAGTCTATGTACTGTGCTCTATTTTGTCTATAGTATAAATAAAAAAGTTAAAACCACCCACTTGTGCAACCGACTTCTCGAGTTTTATTAAGTGATGTTACCGGATGTCCAATTAGCTCTTCCCCTTCCCCAGTCCCTGAATCCCCAAACATCTTCAAATTCCTAATCCCCAAAAGGCTGGTAACGAAGTTGTAACGCCTCTGGTGTTCCGGATGTCCATGAGCGACATCAATTGCTTACCATCAGGTGATCCGCCTGCTCGTTTACCGGCTTATCCCATAAAAAAGTGGTTGTAAAATGGTTATAAATCGAGACTTACCTCAGAAACATAACTAGTGAAAAATTTATTCAACGTAAGAATGTATGTTCCAGTATTAGAATTTCTACTACTACAAATAATTGGTATGACAAAATCCCATAAACAACCACTCTATCACCAAAAAACTGCGGCATTACGAAATTCCAAATTACAGGCCCCTATCTCCGTAACACACCCATTGCGACGTTTGGTTACATGTCCCATAGTGTGAAAGGCCTGCTCCTATGGATAAACAGTACCATTCATGGCGCCTGAAGGCCAGTACCGATCGATGGCCGCTCCGTTTCACGCACGCACTAACGATCCGCCGAGTTCCAAAATAAACAATGGATAGATAAGTAGCAGGCATAACTCCGCATTGCCTTTGTCTAATTCTGTCACGGTAAATTGAACCTGTCATTTTAAATGTCATGCGGTTGTGGCGGCCATTTTGATTATGTGATTTTTTGAATATTTTTATGAAAGTTACGTTTAAAATCAGGGTAGAATTAAATATACTTTTATTGTTTTGTATAATTTTCTTAACTTAATGACTTTAAACTGCTGCAAATAAGTATTTTGTCTAATGAAATTACACTACAATCACTTGGGAATCCGTAATCCTTAAAGCTGTTACCGTATCGTATCCGTAAAACTTATAAGCATATCGAAATTGAAACGTATAGACTATTAGACATAAAGACAGAAAACTAGATACATTCTGTCCATACTTACCTAAGTAACAGAGCCTAGAGTCCTATAGAATAAGGATTAAAAAAAAGTCCCCAGTATAAGCACCAACAGGGTGTTAATAAAACAACTAGTCTACTTTAATAATTCACATAAAATAATAAAAGAGCAGCTTAAAAACTAACTAAATTGAAAAAATACTCGAGTAATTAATGTTTTAACACAGTATCTTGGTAATTAATGAAGGAGAAAAGTAAAGAGTACCGTACAAATAGTATTAATTAGTATTACATTTTCCTCTAGAGAGAATATTTTGCTTGGTTCTCATAACACGTAGCTATTTCTACGTAAAATATGAATTTATTTTCTATCCTCAGCTTCACTTAAGATTATTTTACTGAAATTGTTTTAATAAGTAAAACTCTTTGTTAAGAAACTCCGGCTAGGAAGTACTACCAACATAAGATCTAATTTCTCTGCCAGAGAATTTTTAAACATAAGAACATAAGAAGAAGAACATTTAAACATAAGAATCGTTTGAGCGTGGTATTAACCTAATAAACTTTATTCTTGTTTTAATCATCATTACGTACTAGACGAAAATAACAATAATTACTTGACATAACGTTAATAAAAATGCTGAAATAGAAACATAAAAAGAACAAATTTTCACAAAAACTAGATGATTTAGACTACGAAATTTGAAAACCTAATAACGAGAAACTCAGTAAAAACAAAATACTTTCCAAAAATTCAAATTAAAAATTCAGACTACATCAAAAAAGTAGCACACGATGACGCTCGTAGACAATGTTCGAAGAATTTTAACAAATTTTTGACATAATTATATGTGAAAAATGTTGTACTGTAGTCTTTATGATATAATATGCTAATATAGCAAAGTTATGAGGAATCCGACAGCAAAGTTTGAGAGAAAATTTCTGTCCGTATTTCTTGGTCGCAAAAGCGGTTTCAAGTGAAATCGAAGGCTAAAGCGCTATTATTGGTTCGTTCTATTTCAGTTGGCCAATCACATTCATTCTTGCGCATTCCATTTTTAGATACTTCTTTGAATTTGAATTTTGTAGTAATGTCTTTATTCGTTGTGTTTTATTTTGCAAAGAATTAAAAAAAATCAAAAACTGTTTTAAATCAACTAAAACAAGCCTGCAATTAAGTCTGAGAACAGCATACAAATAGTACGCAAGCAAGACCAAAAAAAAATAATTGAAACTATATCATTTCCACACTTCTAATCAAACAAATAAACCCAATATAATTTACTAGCGACACAGAAAATAACTTATCCCCTAGCTGTGAGATAGAAAATACTTTTCCATTCACACAGCAAATATTTACAGTGATTCGACATGAATGGAAACGTAACAAGTGTAACGTCTCAAGTTATATGATGGCGCGAAGAAGGCGACCCATGGAATTGATCGGCTTAATTTTTTTGGTAAAATTCGTAGCCTAAAAATTTTCGTTTTTGTAACATGCTGTATAATGTATGTGTTCGCGGATTTTTTTTTCTTTGTTGCAAATGTTTTCGTTGCTTTGATTTTTTTTCTGTTAAAATAGTTCGGTGAGTAATGAGCTGGTTTATGAGGATTAAAAAATAACATTGAAAAAGAAATGATCGTCAATCCTATGTAGTATTAAACTCATTGCAAATAAGGCTGCTGAAGACGAGGAGGATTCGATACTTTGAATTGTAGTAACAGAATATAAAACTATTTTAACAAAAAGTAGAGTGAAACTACTTTATTAAGTAAAAATGAAGATAAATTAGTATAAACCCATATTGTGTGTGTATTACCTTGCTTGGCCGTATCTTATCACTTCGTACCTAAACTTTTTTAATGGGACAAGCCCGTCACAGCCTCCTAAAACCGCTGCAACTCCTGTAAGCCAGGATCTACAGTAAATACAACCATGAAAACACCGGAACACTGAAGTCCGACGCGTCCCAGGGACATGAATAACTGTCTTCGATCCCACAACGTAATAAATCAGAAGATATTAATAGAAGAGAAGAAAAAAACGATAGTTTCCACTTCTCTCGGTGAATTAATGCTGGAGACTATGACTTCAGCATTAAGAAAGAAAAGAGACTGCATGACTGGGAGAAGCCCAGGCGCCAAGCTAGTTCATACACAACAGTCACTACTTCAACTAGACCAAAGATTAAGCTTAGTCCCTCATTCTCAGACATCACTACTTTAAACTGAGTCTGTACTTAACTTAGTTTATCAAAGGCGACGGTCTCTAATCCGGCATCAAACTTCTAGTTGAATGAAAAGAGTCAGGGATTCTGAACATTTTATCCTCGTATCTATGTGAAGCTTTCTCTTATTCGCAAGTATGACAGATTACTTGCCTGTCATCGCAAGATAACTCATATTTTACGGAACATTAACTTTACTAGAACGAAAATGAGTTCCTAGTTTACTTGGCTGAATTTTTTCGAAGTAAGTGTTCTAAAAGTGTTGGCAAATTTCATGGAGATGAAGTTTCAATTATGGTTTTAATACGAAAATAGAGGTACTGTTGACTGGGGGCAAATGCCATACGGTAAGGTCCGACTT